ACTGTGGGCTAAAAAAGCTAGGTGTATCAACATGATAAAGCCTAAAGTTTGGTTAAAGCAAGTTGATTCATTGTATGTTTTAAGTACTATTTTGGGGAGTAATCCCCTTTGATTCAATTCAATTTTCATTTGAACAATAAGCCTTTTTCTCAGAACTGTTTCTTAACTTCTAAACTTTTACAAAACCCTTTTCCAGCACCATCTTGGTACATTTTTCATTTTCATGACCTTTTCAACTGTAACTTGATTAACCAAAACAGTTTAAATTTTGCAAATAATACTGATCTTAAAAAAGAACATTAATATTAACCAATTGCGGCAATTTTTCGATCCTCAGTCCATACACCGATGTCCGCTGTCCTTCCAACATTAATTTTAAAGTCTGCACAAGTGTCAATTACAACTTGCTCAAGCCGATTTATGTACCATCTTGCACTCGGTTTGAAGTTGCGCAAATTTAAAACTGGATAGCAAACTAATTGTCCAGGACCATGAAAAGTAATTAAGCCACCCCTGTTTGTTTTATAGAACTCTGCCCCGAGTTTTTTCAATTTTTCATCCGTCCTCTCGAAATCAGTTGTTGATGGGCCTAAGTAGAGTTGCGTTCTTGTCCCTATGGTATAAACTGGGGGATGTTCCACGATGTATATAATGTCCATTGGCTCACTGCAGGAAACTCGTTTTCGGTAGGCGACTTTCTGTTCGCATGTTTCTTTCATCTTAGCGATTGCGGGTCCATAACGCATACGACCTAAGTTCTTCACAGTAACGAATCTTGAAGCCGCCATATCAAGAGTGTCTCTGATGCGTGGCAGCCTCGTGTGTATTTGCCATGTCCGATAGATGTCGATTCGATCTGAAACCATCAGCAAGTTCAGAAAAGACATAGAAAAAGGAAGTACGGAGTTTGGTTTACACGCAAGGAAAGAATATGACAGGAAAGGAAATGAAGCCAAAACGAAACTTTTCCCATGTTATATTTGACATGGATGGCCTATTGATTGGTAAGAATGACTTATTAGCTCCTTGACAGTATCATATCAAGGAAAGCTGACGTTATAGCCCCCTTACCTTTTTGCTTTAGTATGATCTTCAGGTTGTGGCCTCAAAACTCATACACATGGGCTCAGACAAAGGTTGAAAAGTAGGGGGGGGCCAGAGGGAAAATTTAACACCCATAACAAAAGATTTTGAAAAAACTCTATTGTTTTGCAAAAATGTGGAGGGGGGCTAAGGCCCCCTAATTTACTTATTAGAGCAGTTAAGGGGAGTAATCTGTAGCTCCCCACCTGCATTTGAGGAAAGACTGGAGGGGAGCAAGATCTATGGCTCTCCTTAAATGGCCAGGCCTGTCTAAGCAAATTAAATTTTCACAAATTAAGGTACAATTTTCAAGACACTTTAAACACAATGTGTCTTACGTTTTGTTGATATGAGCATTTCTTGAAGCTCTGCTCTTAATTTCACATGCAGTAATGAGATCTTCTTGCTAGTTATAGATTTAACACAACCAACTGTTGAGTTAACCAACCTTTTAAGTAATCTTCTGATGCACCTTTTATAATAAATGGTAATCACAGCTATGCAAACCAACTGCACAAAAACATACTTTAATTGACTCCTTTATCTGCAAAACTGGTCCGTTTGACTAAAAGGTCATTTTTAACCCCAGTCACATCAGGCCTTGTCAGAAGCAGAAAGCAGGCGCTTGACAAACTGAGCACCTTTAACTTTCTAGATGCTCAATTGGGCATCATTAAATATCATCAATAACAAAATATGGTTTTTTGTATTTAATTTGTAGACAGCATGAACATGTTAGGTGCTTGATCAATCAAGCTCCTAGAACTTTTTAGGCTCCTTGCAAGGCCTGAATTACATTCTATGCGACCACTGAGGAGCATTTATAGTTTTTAGTATGCAAGGCAATGGGATAGTTACAGTTTTTGCACAATAGTATCTTTATCATAGTATTGTAAATTAACTGTAGGTAGTTTAATCAGTAATATGTATCATGAAATTTTAAAAGTATTGCAGTTACCGTGTTGTTTCTTAAATAAAAGTTAAAAGCGATTCAACTTTACACTAAAGGGTATGAGAGTGAGTGGGATCAATCTGATAAGAGAGGACGAAGGGACATTGTGAATTGTGTTTCGGGTGGGGAAGGGGAGGAATTAGGGGTATGTTTGGGAGTGCACGATTCATTAATCTAGGGCAGAACGCTGCAGTGGGTGGGATGTGACAGTATCATGCATTAGGAGTGGTAGGTGAACTGACCTTGTTCCTTGCAAAAATATAGCATGTAGAGTTTGTTTCGCTAGCATATTGACGGTGAACGCTGAAGCAATTCCTTTTTGGGTCTGGTCTATTGTGGCTCAAGTACATCCAATTGCTAGCGGGTAGTTAAATGTAGTCTGGCGTTGTGTGAGGTAGACACATGAAAGGGATAGTAAACAGAAAATTGATCAAAGGATCGCCATCATAAATATGGAAAAAACTTCACTGAGATTAGAAGGTGAGAAAATGAGGGGAATGCCAGGATAAGTCTGCCACAGGTTGGAGTGTGATCTGATTAGCGTGTCCAAGTCACATATCCGAGAAAGTTATTAGAGGAAACCAGAGGAGAGCGAAGCTATACGGAACTATTTCCTATACTTGGTAAGCCAAGTTTTGGATGCACTGGTAGGAGAGTCCTCCTATTTCTGGTGTTCAGAGCTATCCAAATCAAATCCGTACAGAGTTTATTTCATTGCGTGGTGTCTGCAAAGTTATAATCAAACTACAAGCGAATAAAAAAAACTAGAAAAAATTTTATTTGGAAAAAATTTGATAGGGATCAATAAGATTGAGTCACACTTTCAGTACGAGTGGGGGAAATCTTTCAGCGGTATGGGCGTGTGGAGTGAGGTTGGTCAGATGATAGAAGGCGTGGTACGTTGAGTGTGTCCTGCCATTTGTTGACTTCGAGGTTTCAGTAAAGCATGTTGGCATTTTTAGCTAAATTAGAAATATTAATTGAGGGCAAATATAATTGCATTTTTTCATGTTCACTTACCTTGGTATGGTATCAGGGGCAGAAAAGCTAGTGAAGCAGGAGCATTTGCTGAAAGTCAAAAGATGTCGTATTGCCTTAGGCTTCAAGGACTTTTACCCGACAACTAGACGTTGAAAGACACAAGAGACAGATCATAGGGGAGCTTCTTTTTGTCACGCTTTTGGAAATCAAGGACCTATAGGGGGTGATGATCCAGGAGTTACGGGGCAGGAAGCAGCTCTATGCTCTGAAGCGTTTTAGTAATGGGGCGGATGAAGAAAATCAGAGAGCCGACTGGAGGTACCAGGAAGCGACGGCCAAGTAGAGGCGGCGCCGGGGGTAGTGATGTGACAGTCTGGCTAGTGGTTTGAAATGATGGCGACTGCAGAGGATGGGTGAGTCTGGAATAGCGTAGCGAGCTGAAGCAAGTCGCTGGAGGCGGATAGGCACTGAAATGGTCACCTGGCGTGGCTGCTGGTGGGAGTACGTAAGATAGACTAGTGGACAGGTATATAGGCCAAAAGTCATACGGGAGAATAAGGCTATGAAGAGATGTGTTGGAGCGTATGGTAGGGGGAGGTTGTTGCGTGATGGATTAGATGATAGAGGGGCGTACGTGAGGAGAAGTTGGGGGTGTCTGGCCTGGCGATTTGGATGATGGCGAGAGCCGATTGAAGCTGGAACTTCGTTCAACTATCGGAGCGATAAGTAGAGGTGGCTGGCCGATGCGAACGGATGAGTGTTCTAGCAGTTGATGAACGAACTGATGGAAGATGTTATGTCATGGAAAAGGATCTGTCATCGGGAGTACGAGGTACTAGTGGGCGGCTGTCTTGGATGCGACTTGGTGTTGGGTTTCGTCTAGTAGGAGCATGGCAGGTATGACGCGCATGTATGAGTACAGGATGAGGTTAAGGTTTAACCTTTGGGTCCAAAATTTTTATGGTGAGGAGGTGAAGGTATGTTCAGGGGATGATTATCTGGGTCTGACATTACATTGGAATAGCTCGGCGCGCATGTAAGAGACGCGTCGAGCGAGAACGTCTTGCTATAGTGATGCGTGATCACCCGACAACAATCGAGTGGCAAGAGGAAGTTGACGCAGACGATAGGATGGTGCTCAATGCATGGGCAGACAGCTTAGTTGGGCAAAGGAGGGAGGGAAGGGAGACAAAAGCGAATACTAGAAAATAAAAAGAATAGAAAGAAAGATAAAGAAGAGAAAAGGAGGAAAGAAGGAAGAATAAAACAGAGAGATAGCGAGATGAAAGAACAAAGAAATAACAAAATATAATAGAAGAAAATTTAGTCGGAAAAAAATAAAAAAGAGATAAGATAACAATAGAAAAGAACAAGAGGGAAAAACAAAGGAAAGAAAGATAAAGCACACAAAAGATACATAAAAATAAAAAACAAAAAACAAAGGAGAGGGAAAAGAAATCAAGAATAAAGAGACAAGAAAAAGGACAAGAAAGATAAAAAAACTTAGTTGCGGAACGAATGATAATTTGCGTGCGGAAGAATAGGGGAAAGATGAAGCTTTACTCGTCTTGGGCTTTTTTATCAATGCGTAAACTTCCAAAAAGTGGTAGGGATGAAAGCACGTGTACTCGGAAAAGATTCTCTGTAAAGACGAAGATGAGGAAGGACGTAGACGTCGAGTTAAAGGGATCAGAATAAAGCAAGACAAGTTCGAAGCCATGAGCGAACCGTGTATAGATGAACGGGGAGGGGCGTGGAGAGGGAGTTAACCAGGGATGATAATGTCAGAAATGCATTTGATGGTTCCCTACCAAATAGAGCTAGCTTTTGAGAAAGTATTAATTATATACCAGGGCTCCGGCACAGCGGTTGGAAATGTAAAGGGACACAAGGGACAAAATATTAGCACGCTTATAAACAATAAGTTTGTGAAAATTTAATATTGTTTGGCAGAAAAAGTGGGAGGCCAAAGCACTCCTGTGCCCTCCTTAGAAGGCCCTCTGATCAGGGTGTTGTCATACTGGGTGCTATATCAATGAAATGTACAGGAAAAGGCAAATAGATATTTAACTTTGAGAATATGAATGCAAAAAACTTGTATTCGCCAGTTGTGAATCACAACAGCCCTTGAAAAGGAAATTCTAGACCTACCGTAAATCCTCAAATTAGCCTCCTGGGGCTTATCTATTTTTTATATTTTTTGGATGGGGGCTTATACAAGGAGAGGGGCTTATAAAATTGTTGTAGACATTAAGAAGACATTATTAAAAGACCTCGTTTATTTTTGTAGGAATTCCTTTACGAGCATTTAATAAATTATTACCAAAAGTATGAATTTTAGTGGTACACTCATTTTTTTTAAGAAACTGGCTAAAAGAAATGAGTAGTGGACAGTCAGAAAAAAATAAGAAACTTCATCAGTACTCGAAGCAAAAATATTAAGAAACTATCAAATTGTGATAAAACTGAGAACAACGAGATTTTGTAAAATCCAAGAACCTGATTGCACTGTTGGCCTAGAAATTAAGACACAAGGGATAGAAATATACTTCCCGCATCTAAATACAGCATCGGAACGCAAGCGAATCTCTTGACGTGATAAAAAAGTCACGGAGGGCCCGCGCCATCAGGGGGCCGGGATGGTCATTGTTGTTTTGAGATTCTATCGACTCGTTCACTGCGAAACATGCAACTAACTAAACTCTACGTGACGCGTGCTAAAAAGTTCTACCTCAGCGATCATTAGAACTTTCTAGAAGCTTCTAATTAGCT